GATCTCAAAATCTACGGCTTGTAAATACAAAATAATAATTAGAACATGCAAGAATTATATATAAAATCACAACACTCTTTTCTCTTTTCATTTCACTCTGCTGCTTATAACTGATATTCTGGCAAGCGAAATTTCAAAATATGACACATATTATGTAGCTCGGTATGAAAGTACCATGAAAACTTGTTATTCCCTACGTCACTTCAAAACAAGTAAAAAGTGAACTACTTAATAAAAATCAGCTTTTTCGAACAGGTGTTCAGAAGCACTGCTACTACTTCCAGAACTTGTTAATGATTCTGTCCACCGATTTAGTTTATGCGTGACTTACGAAAGCTAATCATGAAAAAGGAACAAAAACTGCTAATTGCAGCATAATTATATCCATATTATAAATTATACTGAGCACGTCATGAGGTATCACTAAGAATTGAAATCACAGTGCAATTAACTGCACACATTAAGTTCCTGGAAAAGAAGGTTATTTTACCTTTTTTCCTCACATCTACCCCTTTAAATTACAAAAAAGTATCAGCTTCCTTTATTTATTTAAATTATAAACTACGTTAAGGGATAATATACGACGAATATACCGAAATTAAAAATAATAAGAATGAAGACCAACTTTCAAGTAGCAAAAGTTTAGAAATAGGAAAAGAATTCATTTTGCGGTTATTTATTTCTTCTTAAAAAAAAAAAAAACATAGCAGTCTTCCATTTATACATAAATACTTTCGTAATAATAATACCTAATACTTTGTAGGAACAAAATGCTATACACTGTGCATAGCTAACGTTGAGTTGTAGAGACAGTAGGTACTTGGAAGCAGGAAAGAAAAAAATATGCAACGTTTTCGCCGAGAACTGGAAAACGCGCCCAGTATCTCTGGAAAACGCGCCCAGCATGCAGACCACCACACCATGAGGCATGCAAAGAAGGCGGGAGAAATACCTTATTGGGTTTTTTGATGAAATGCTCAGTGTTCCGAATTTATACCAAATCTCTGAACTTTTATGTGCCTATGTTACCATGTTCAGTATGATAATTAGCAAGCCGGCTGCCATACTGCTATGCCCGGGTTTGAAATCTGCAGAAAGCTCTGATGTTTATAAATGCCTAGTGTCTTTTTGACATGGGAGCACTCGAATCTCAACAATGGAAATGGAAGTCCCATCGAACGTTAAAATACGAGGATCCCCTCCCCCCCCCGAAAAAAAAAGATTACGAGGTTAATAAAAATGTTTTATTAGAGGGAAATACAAAAGGGAATTAAGAAGCATATTTGACTATCATTTTCCCCCATAATCACATGATCAGGCATTTATCTGGGAGCACGACGAACATTTTAACCCGGCTTGGTAGAAATCACGTCCTGCCTATTGAGCCAGTGCTCGGTGGTTGTTTTCACATCAATACAAGAAGAGAATCTCATTCCAGATGAATGTTCCTTCAATTCCAGAAAAAGGAAATGGGGACTAAACCTAAGCTATATGGAGGCTGACTCCATACTTCCCACTTAAACTTTAGCAGCAATATGGGACGTTGCACTGACATGCAGGAGGATGACACCATCACTCAACATGGCAGGGCGCTTGTGTCGAAGTGGACAGTAACGATCGGCAGTAATAGTATGGCCATACTCGACAAGGACAACGAATCACGGCTCGCACCTCCAAGAGAGACCACTTCTCTAACTCGTCATTTCAATCGTTTTGACGCGTCTGCGATATTCTACCTACCCTCAAAACCACTGCTAGACAATTAGTGCCATCTGCCTACACTCTCGGAATAAAGTATTCCCTCCACAGTAATTACTATCCAAATGCTGATGCTAGTAACTTTGGGGGGGGGATCACCGACGATTGTAAGCGAATTTGAAGTGCAGGTGGAACTGAAATATCAAAGATTTATTTTGAAAATGGTGTGAAATATTCATTCATTTTACAGATGCCAAGAACCTGAAATAATAACCTAGTTAGTTTCAAATTCGCTCTTACAAGAACCAAATGCAGCTATGTGCTGCTTACAGACGGAAGCTTTAAACACTGTAAACTCCTTTTCAAGAATTTCTCATCTACTTAATTCTGTACCCAAACATTAGAATGAAAAGAACTTCTTGGCCAAATCCACAAATGTGTTTTGTTACTATAATTTTTTTATAAAGTGGAATTTATGTTAATTAATATACGTGATATGTTATAAACAGAAAATTTGCGGCTGAAATTTATTAATGCACATATGAAGAAATTGCAGATATTCATTTTGCTTGCGTTCGAGTTTACAGTGAACAACAGTGGAGTTTACAGTAATGAAAAGGCAGGCCAACTGTTTTAGTAAGCAACTCATATTGATTTAATGATACCTGTTTCCGAGTCTTATCGGAAACGTGTTGCTTGGGATAAAATTTTGGTTGACAAAAATGCAGAATACCTTACTTCATCGAAGGCGCACTGGCCTGTTCCAGGTTTTCCCATAAATTTTCCCAGCGTTTTAAGTGTAAGCATATTTCACCGGATTATAAATTAACTCAGATTCTAATAGTCATGGGAATTTTAGAAATAAGTTATTTCGTTTTAATATCTAGACCAGTGGACGTTGTGCTTGTGACGATGCTGTAAGAGATGTATCACTGCAGGTTATATCCGAGTGCCAGACTCGCATTTAATACATCTCTTCATTTGTTGGTCTCCTGCTTTCCTTGTCAAGATTTCTCAGGCTTTTGCTGTCTTGCGCAAATATATTCGTTTAAGGTTCTAATTCTAATCTTTGCATTACTGTATTATTATTATTATTGTATTTTTTTTGTATTATTATGTTACGTTTTAATGTATTGTAGTATTGTTGTATCAAATCTCCTTTGTATTATTATTATTATATTCCTATATAGTATAATATTTATTACATTATAGTATTTTTATCATAATGCTGATTGTATTACTATATATATTTCTTATCGCCTCCAGATTCAGATATCATGTATCACTGGTATTAGCCCAAACCAGTGCAAAAGTATCTGCACTGGTATTAGCCCAAACGGCGTTAGCCCAGAAGGGCTATTAATTTCGGTTTGGCATTTTGCGTCGATCCACTTTCTGCGTTGATTCACTTTTTAAACTGTTGCCACCAACTATTACAGCCCTGTATTATATTAACAGAGCATTAATTTATATTAAATACAATACAGGGCATATATTAAGATTAGGATTAGAAATTAAATAATGAAGAATCTACATAAATGTATGTATGTTTCTCGCATTGTGATAAAACGGCGGTACCTAGAGCCATTAAATTTTGAATAACGTAATCCTGCAGCGAATATGGGCATCTGGAAGCCCTAATTTGGAATTTGTTTTATTATTTATTTTATATTTTGTCAGACATTAAAGAATTTTTGATTAAGAAACTCAACGATTTCAAAGCGAGGAATGCCAACACTGTACGGGGAAAAAAAAAAAAAAAAATCTCCAGCGCGCGAGGCTGCGTATCGGAAATTCTAAATATATGCTCATTTTTAAAATTATTTTGCGATATTGCTCTTGAACTGAATTTTATGGTTTAAGCGCAAAGAATATGATCTTTAATAAATAAAGGTAATACACAAAACGTTTAAAAAACGCCCGTATGGGCGTAATGCAAAATCTGAAAGCCTTCAAATTTTATTACTATTATTATTATTAAAGTCAAAAATACATTAGAATTAATACCAAATAAAGTAAGAAAAATACTTTAAAAAAAATTAAAACTAAGTTTTCATTCCAATTTTTGAAAAAATATTATTGATTTGCTTATTTACTTCTCTAAACCTAGTAGCCTATCTTGTGGAACACGAGGAGTTTTGTATTTGTTTTCGGTATTATGTATCTGGATTTGTATTAATATCGAAAATAATACATATATATAATCATAAATATATCAGTATCTTATTTAACATAACTTAAATTTCTTTATTATGTGGAACTATCTACAGTAATCTTGCACTTACCGTACACAATTTTAAGCAGAGCCATTAAATTAAATTGCCTCTTATTGCACTCTAAAGTGTGTATACACATTAAAGTACAAAGATTACGTATTATTCAAGTCGATAAGCATCTGCAATTGATTTCTAATTTTCGGTTTGCCTCGTAAGGCACCTGACGTCTAAAAATCCAATTACGTAAAGCGAACAATAGGCCATCAGTAACAGTACGAAATCTTAACATGAGCTATTGCACTCTATTAATTTGGAAAATTATTAAGATCAGAATTAATCCCTCCTTCTTCCGTCCTTTACTCCTCCCCCGGAAAGCAGAGTTTGAGTCCACCGAACACCTGCCAGGAGACATCACATTGTTAAGGTCAGGGTCAAGGTCATAAAAGAATGACTCACCGCGGCGAACCTATGTTAATGAACTTCTGATAACGATTGAGGGAAGGCTTTTAAAGCATGTTGTTTATTATTATTATTAAAGCAAAAATAATAATAATAATAATAATAAGTAAAAAAAAATGTCAATTCTTTCCCTCTTCTTGCAATTGTAGGAAATAACAACATTCCCTAATTACATATTTTTATAATCATATGCAAAACGATAACGAAAATTGATTCTGCTTTTGAAAAAATAAAAATGTAATGCATTACGCATACCGTGGCCAAATTTTTTCGATAACAATCCAGGACATAAGTTCACGTGTGTTTCACGAACACACGTGAACATAAGACCCATTATACATTGATTTCAAGCATTAAACTTACTAATTCTTATTTCATTGATATTTTATAGCACAAATAACAAAATAATATAGAATGTATTGCTCAAAAATTCTATCTAATCATTCACACGTCATGTACGTTCGCCGACATCCTCCATGCCCCTCCCCACCCTGTCTTTGAATGTGCGTGTATGCATGCAATAAAATGTGTTCATACTATCTTTGCCGTACTTGCTATTATTTCCATTTCATATTAAAAGATATTTTTCTGTAATGAATATTATAAAAAAAAAAAAAAAAAACTTACCAATAATGGCATGCACTCGTACTGAGAGCTGGGTTCGAAGAATAATGGCATTCTTGCGGCTGGGGAAGAGAAAAAAAAATCAGACATCTTTCATTCTGTATTTAAAATTACAATTAAAACACACTTTCTGAACAAATAAAAAATAAATAAATAAAACTTACAAAATTAAAAATTAAGTATCATTATGTTAGATGAATAAACACAACACAACTCAGGGTTTCAAACTCATAAATCGAAGAATGTAACACACGTGAATAATATTGGAATTCTATTTATAGAATGAATTGCTTAATAAAGTCAGTATTTTTTTATGAAAATCTCACCACACGGAAAATTTTGACAAAACTTTTACATTCATTTTAACGTTTTTAACAGAATTTTCTCAAATAATTACATTTCCGTATGAATATTATTTTTGAAATCAAAAATAAGACTTTATCACTGCATAGCCTAGTAATAATTTAAAACAGTATCATACTTCCGTATAGGAATACTGAAGTGTCATTGGCCCAGCTTGTAGTGTGTACCCATATTATACTCCTTCGAAACACTAACACTTGAGATCGAATAACGATCGAGATAATTTTCATTATGTTCAACAAAAAAATAACTTTCCTCCGACATGGACGGAAATTGTTATTTTCCATCTTCAACACGTTGTTCCTTTAGTTTCACCATTTTAGTCAGTACTGAATGAACATCGAAGTATTCTTCAGTATAGGAAATGAGGGCCAGACACATTAAAGAAAGGAAACGAATTACATATGACTCATCAGTTTAATACATCATTTTACAGCGAGAAATCAATATGATTATTGACACTGCTTTTCTGATATTAAGTTTAAATTACAGTGGACATTGGTCAACTGTAACTTCAGTAAGAAAATGTCTCACACTCGATTCCAGTGAAGCACTTTCAATGCGAGTTTTCGTTTCTGATTTAATTTGCTTAACAGCAGAAAAAGCACTTTCACACACATATGTACTGCCAAACAACGATAATATTTGCCGAGAGAAGTTAAGCAGTACGAGGAAACGTTCTTTAGACATCAGTTTCCAGACATTTTTTGGAACATCCCGTTTTAGCCTGGTAGAATGGATTTGCCTGAGGATCACAAACTTCCATTTGAAGGTCGTAAGACAACTCAGTCATTTCAATCTCCATGAGGTTGTTTAACGGTGCAAGTTGTGATTTTAGGGGGCCAAAATCCCGGAATATAACCTGGAACAATTCTTGATATCAACTAATATTTCATGAAACATAGTAAAATTCGTGACATTTCCTTCCTCTTCTTTCAACAGCCAACAAGATGAGAAGTGTGCTGTATTATTTGCCTTCGGTGCAATTTGCATTAGGTCGAGTTTTTTTGTTGAAGCACTCAGTATGTCCATAAAGCTGGGAGATATTTTGTTTTCTGCCTTATAGTTTCAGGTTTAAAGCATTTAGATGGGATGTTAAATATGTCTGGAAAACAAGATTATTTAAAAACTGGATTTTTTTCCAGTTTTTCTTGATACTTATTCTCGATGTATTCCTTTTTAAGAAAAACAAGAATTTCATTCCTCAATCCAAAGAACTATTGCAGACAATTTCCAGCACTAGGCCAGCACACTTCACAGCACAAAGAAATTTTTACACGTTTAACTTCCAAATTGTCCAGAAATTCGATAAATGCTTTGTGTCTCTGGGCTTTATTGTCTCCCCTTATCAATTTAAAAGTTCTCATTCTCTTACTCAGCCTTATAATTTTTCCACAGAAAGCCTCCTGGTAAATAATGCAGTGGAGAAACCAACACTGTGTGCCTTTACCTTTACATAATCCTACTAACCCAGTTCTATGACCAACCAGCTTTAGCTCCAACTGTTGTAAAGCCAAAGCCCTTTCCAGAACCTCCGTATTTAGAAATCACATTATTCAGTGCATTGAACGTGTAAATACATTAGGTGCTGTTTTCTAGTGATTTTAACAGGTTATATCGATGTAAAAAAATTGAAGAAATTCAAAATGTTCTCGATGGGATTCGAACACCGGTCCCGACAAATACGCCTCGAGCGTGTCTTCAGTTACACCAAGAAAGCATTCAGAAAGGACGAAGAAAATATCTTATATACTCCCTCTTTTAAAAGGATTAGGGGACCCAATTGCCAAATCCTGCAGGTGACGAATTATCGTCCACCAGGTCATTAGAATTTTTTCGAGAGCTGATTTACGAAAAAATATACGTACAGTGAATTTCATATAGTGTCATTTAGAATTTTTTCGAAGCAACTGAACTGAAGAAATGCCCTCACCAGTATTCAAGTTCCGGACCTCCCGAATAGGCGTCGAGCGTGCTTCCAGTTAGACCACGAAGGCATGTGGAAAGGAAGGAGAAAATACTTTATAACGTCTTAACAAATTTCAAATTCTTCGTTTATTGTTCTGACAAAAATAAGGAGCTAGCTGATGCCAGCTATATCTGTGTTCGCATGACAGAGTAAAATCTACATTGCTCCAAAATGCCCTTGAGAGTATCTGAATCTTCACTACCCATCTCATTAATTATTCTGTTTACTGTCTGATGAGATAAGAACAATATTCCAAAATTTTTAGCCATCTTATTATCTCCAGATGACGATGCTATTTTTACAACACATCTTTTAATAATCTCACCATCCCTAAAAGACTTTTTACGTTTGGCAGCTCTAAACTTACCTAATTAAGGTTACTTCAGACCAGCAATCTTTGATGGTCCTCTGTCTAGTTAGTTTCAGCTTAAAATTATCGAACACGCAACACCTGGCACTTCCCAGATCTTTGCCGTATTTTGATTTATGCAAACTGGTATAGTGTCTACCCACATTATATTCCTTCGAAACACTCAACGCTTGAGAACAGATAACATTCTGTGTAAAAGGTTAGCACATCCACCTGACAGTTAGAAGATCCATGAATAAAATCTCGGTGACTACATAATTTCTCATGATAGATTGCCAGATTAGCGCATGAGCTAACTGAAAAAAAAAATAGCTTAAAAAAATCGACACCTGGATTTGCCGAGTGGATCTTGTTCCAATTCTCAGTCACTTTTACGTGGGGCTGAATATGACGAATTGTAACATTTCCACATGCGTGTTCTCTTCGTGTAAATGGTTACCATATCTAGCTGGCAACGTGAAGATCCCAAGTTCGAATCCCAGCGAAGGCATAGTTGGTTTTTCAGACTTTGGTCTGCAATATCTAATGCTCTGTACAAAGGATTATAGTACGCTGGTAGAGCTGAAAGTAATTTATCCCGAAGTTTCTGACAGAGAAAATTATTCAAATTCTAGATATATTACCATTACTTGAATAAACCTATAATTGAGAACCTCTGCCTTTGTTACCCGATTGCCCCTCTATATGTGTTGGCAAAACGCCATCTACTCGGGTTAAGCGGGTAACATAGCTAGGTTTTCTTATAACCTCCTTTCCAAGTCCAACTCACAGATAAATAAATAAAACCTGTAAATACAGAGGAAATGCGAATCCTTTACGATATTACACCTGGCGCGAGATTACAAGTGAGTATTCCAACTCCGGTGGGAGTGTGCTGGCCAAGACATGGGAAACCAGCTTAACATTTTAATAGCAGGTTGCCAAGATCTGAAGAGGCTCAATGCTACCACCACGGGCAAATGACATCTGTTGGATTTCAATTCAATGGTGACGAAGGGTGGTAATTTTTTATTACTTTTTTTATCGTTACTTATTACCTTCATCATAGAATCTACTTCATTTCTCCCTCGTCGTAATTTTAAATGCATCATCCTTCAGCACATAATAATTTTCCCACGGCAGAACAGCCGCCAGTAATATTGAGAAAATTTTATGTTTGTTGCAAGTAATAATATCCAGCCAGTACAGAAGGATATCTGGCAAAATAGGCTTAATTCATGTCTGCCTATATGTACATGTGTATGTATACAGCGTTTTTGTATTTCTTTAATAAAATCAGCTTAAGATATTTTCCAACAGACACGCGTTTTATTTTCCAGAATTACAATTATTCAAATATATATATATATATATATATATATATAAATTAATTTTTTATTTTGGAATTAAACGCATTTGCATTTTAAAAACCGAATTTAAATAAATTCATACTGCATTTTATTTTCAATCAATTTATTCATTAATTATGCAGTTTTAAATTTAATTCTTCAATTTAATTTCATTTAAATTATTTTAGAACTAGGTTTTCATTAAAATTTATTTAAATATACAAGATAGAATATCTGCATTTCTTATAGATTTTTTAACACTTTCCCCTAAATCTCTTATTAATGAAAACTTTTATTCATTAATTAAGAAATCCATTAATTTTTGCACAAAAAATTATTTAATGTCTCAGACGTGATACCCAATGTTTCAAACATAATTTTTAAAAATATGATGATTTCCTTGTACGGCCTATTAAATTATACAAATTTTTTTGCTGCATTTCATTTAAACTTATTTCCTCGAATTTCATTAGAGATTCGAGGAGAAAGTTTCATTTTACAATTTATCATTCAATTAATTATCATTCAATCATTTTACAATTAATCATCCAATTACTTCGCGGCAAAACAAAAATACATAAAAACTCAAAGCATTTTCATTAAAAACTGTAAAATACTTAAAAACATAAAACACCAAATACAGGCATTTCAAGCGATCCTATTTGTTACCTTTGTGATTCTGGAGAAGATATGAAAAGGGACCACCTGCTCTGATGTGGGGGCTCTTCGTGGTCTAGTAGATGTCGAGATACTGGGAAGCGAGAACGCTCTTTAGACAATGATTTGAATTTTTTTGTTCTTAAGTTCTATTATTTGTAACCTCTGTTTGTAAGATTTTAATTCTTTGTAACCTTTTGCCTAGCCATTAGAAATAATAATAATAATAATAATAATAAATAAAAAAAAAAAAAAAAAAGTTAAAGATTTAAAAACAATTTCAGATATCATTTAAGTTTAAACAGCATGATTCCAGAATAACTTGAAAGCAGAAACTTTCGAGTTATTTTAGAATCATGCTGCTTTTTACATGGT